GAGTGTCTGTGGTGTCCGCCGGTTTGCGGTTGTCGTAACGTCGTTCTGCCAAAGCTTCGAACGCTACCCAAAATTTTGTGTCGTTTGCGGTTCTAAAGTTCGCTGTACTCTTAGTCATCAGGAGAACCAATCAGGAATACATAAGAGTGGACCATCCCAGCGCGGACCAGTGTTCCCTTCCCCAATTTCCATTCTGATTGGAGCGCTACCGCCCGAACGGCCCATGCCAAGCACAGCAACCAGAACGCTCGCACTCTGGTTGCTACGAAGAGATGAAAGGCCCCCTGTTTCGCCTACGACATACCTTACGACATACAAGTGTACAGAGTACTTACATGCGAATTATTGAGTCGTTATCGTCACTGCCCTCTGCGCAAACTGGTCGCATCTGCCATATGTGCTTTCATGCTGATCATTCCTTCCTGTAAACGTCCGCATCAGTCGTTCTTTCTTTTGTTCTCGAGAAACATTCTACTTGTCTCCTTTTGGGGGTCACGTTCGTTCCTTCCCTTTCTCTTTTGTTTTGGCGGCTGGCTAGTGGGCGCCGTTGTCGTCTGGCTGCTGAGGTAGCGTGCGCTCCCCGCTCCACATTCTTTCCCTTTCCGCTCTGCCTTGCCCCTAGCAACCCGGTAGCAATTCCTCTCATCTTAATTTGGTTCTCCTACTCCGTGATCTTTCTCCTTCTCACATACGAGTTACACTCTTCCCTTTTCTGAAGAAACATAAGCAAAATTAACAGTCCACAACGACCACGTTTTCACAACGCCCTCCATGGAGTCTTGAAAGCGACTACTTGGCTTTCTTGTTTGTGTTTGCGCTCCTCTGGAGAAGGAGAGGCGGATACGGCCAGAGCGAATAAACGACGACCCTGCGTTCATCCAACTCGACCAACTGCAGCAGGACATTATCGTGTTGTCCCTGTGCTGCTCCTGTTGCCGTTGTTCTGCACAGCACGTCTGTCATAGCCCTCGCCAGCCTCCCTGTCCGACCGATCGATCCTATCCGGCCATTGCACAGCGAACGGTCCGTTTGTTGTTGGTTCAGCGCGGCGGTGCACACCCCTTTTCCACTGTCAGCTTCGAGGACGACTCGGCCACCTCAGCTCTCACTCAGCCAACCACTTTTCCAGCCTACTTCTAGCCTGCAGGCTCTGTCGCCTCGTCCGCTTCAGCTCTTTTGAAAGTTGTCTTTCTCGAGTATCTCAATTACCACGGCGAAATTAAACGGCAAGGTGGAGGAGCATCACGGGGCCCCGACTTCCTCTCCTTTCTTTTTTGTCTGTTTTGGGGCTCGGCGCCTGTCCACTCTTTCAGTTGCACATTTTTGACCGACTCTTATTTTATTTTCGTTTTTTTTTTCTGGAGCGTTCGTTTTTGCTCGCTTTGTTGGTTGAAGCAGTGATTCTGAAACTACGATACCTTCGCCACGGCGATCCGCACATTGCCGAAAACTTGCTGAGCGGGTTGTATACCTGGGCCGTTCTTACGACATCTTCACCCGGACAGAGTCTCCCTTTTTCTGCAAGAGGACGATTTCCCGTCCACCACCCAAGTCTGTCATAATGGCACCCGCCCGATCACGAACTGTGCCGCCCAAGAAGCATGCTCTCACGCTGGCGCAAATTGCTTCGTACGACGATATTTTGACTGATTCGCTTGTCGACCATGTACGTATGGTATTGTCCGAGTCAATTCGTAAGCCTGACAGCGAGTGCGTCAGGGAAATGAGTTGCGCCTCTGCCTCGATATCTACTAACCACGATGTACATCTGCATAGGCCTTTTATTGGACGACAATCCCCAAGAACCGACCGTCCTACCTACCATCACGCGGAGTCAAGGAGCAAGAAATCACCAAGATCATCCAAGACCACCTGGTCGTGGAACCCGACCTTGACCTCGCCGAAGAAAAGCTTCTCGCCACGAACGGACTCGGAAAGTTTTACCGCGCGCTAAAGACCGAATTCGAAAAGGAAGACTTCCGGCGCCATCTTCGCCGTTACATGCAAATTTACCTTCCAGACTGTCCCTTCGAAGTCGCCGCCACGAACCGCTACACCATCTTTCAGGAAGAGGCATGCATCTGCGCCCGACGTTTCATCAAGAGCAACGAGACAATCAAGTACCTGGCAGGTATTCAGGTGGTGATTACGGCGGAGGAAGAAGCTGAGCTGTCGGAGCGCAAGAAAGATTTCAGCATCATTGTCAGCTCGCGGAAGAAGGAGGTAAACCTGTTCATGGGCCCTGCTCGATTCTCGAACCACGACTGCGACGCGAATGCCCGGCTCGTGACTACCGGCCAGGCCGGCATCGAGATCATTGCCACCAAACCAATTGCCGTGGGCGAGGAGATTACGGTCACCTACGGCGACAGCTACTTTGGCGAGGACAACTGCGAGTGTCTCTGCAAGACATGCGAGGACAACTTGACGAACGGCTGGGCGCCAGCGGATGGCGTTGTCCCCGTCAAGCAGAGCGTGGAGGACGGCAGCCAGACACCCGTTCAGGGCTACTCTCTTCGTCGACGAGAGGAGCACAGCTTCAACCGCGGCAACTCCGAAACACCGTCTCTCACGCCAGTTGCGAGGCCAAAAGTGTCAAAAGCGAGCCTACGAAAGCTGTTGCGGGGCGCCGTTGATGCCATATCTTCAAAGTCGGGCTCGATGGAGTTGGACAATGAAGCGTTTCACCAGGGCCAAAAGAGAGAGAGGGATTCTTCGATTCTCGCTACACCACCAGTCACCCCGGCGAAGAGGCAAAGGACGACCATGTCTGAGATCGACCGCGCAACGACCGACACGACTGCATCAAGGGAAGCAACAGCACTCTCGGACGCCGGATCTTCACACACTGCGAAACCTGACACTGCGGCAGAAACCAGCCCGGTACCAAGCAACCGTGCAGAGGAGACGAAGATGGTGCGAAATGACGACCAAATGCCGACGCCTGAGCCATCACAACAGCTTGCGGAATCCGATGTGTGCGAGTCCGATCTGGGCGACTCCATTGTCGTTGCTTCAACTTTCACGACTACAGTTGTGACGGAAACTGCCACAATGCTCAAAGTGGAGGAGTCGACTTCAATAGACCAGATGACGCTCCCGACGCCGGAGTCGTCGTTGGATAGTGAGGAGGACGAAAAGACCGACGAGAAGATGGAAGAGAAGCCCGAATCAGCTGCCGATCCCACAACGGACCCTGAGGAGTCGCGAGACGATGCACAGCCAGCCGTGCATACGCCGCGGCGAGGACGGCCGCGGAAATACCCAATCATTGAGGGACAAGCATCGACGAAACCCAAAACTGCGCCACGTACCAAGGTCGAGGTAGATGTCGCCGAGGTCGAGGATAACGAGGCTGAGAAGACCTCAGGGCCAATGAGACAACGTGTGCCTGGCGACTACACGCTGACACCACTTTTGCTGGCGGAACCGGAAACGGCCTGGGTCATTTGTTCGGTGTGCTCGAAGGCATTTGTCCAGCGCGATGCGTACTTTACACGGATGTCGTGCCCCCGGTGCGAGCGGCACTCAAAGTTGTACGGCTACATGTGGCCGAAGACAGAGCCCGAGGGCAAGTGGGATAAGGAGGAGCGCGTCCTCGACCACCGGCTTGTGCACCGCTTCCTGCACGCCGGCGATGAGGCCAAGATCCGCGGCCGGAAGCAGGTGGCGTGGCTGGGCGAAGATGCTACAACCACCGATGATGAGCGGCGCGGAGTCAGTGGTGATAGTGGGAAAAAGGAGAGCCTCGGCTCCGGCATTTGGCGCAAGCTCCGTTATACAATCAACAAGGAGAAGGCCGAACAAGAGAAATCGAAGGCCAAGTCAAAGCCGAAGGCCAAGACGACGGAAATGACCAAAACTACCAAGGTCGTCAAGGAGACCGTATCCAAGACGGCCAAGACGGCCAAGACGGCCAAGACGACCAAGACGACCAAGACGACCAAGACGACCAAGACGACCAAGATCACCAAGACCACCAAGGCCACCACGACCGCGACGGTGAGGAAGACAATCAAGGCAGCGGCTGCCAAGGCTGCCACTGCGGCGTCAAGTGCGTCAAGACGGTCGACAGAGAAGCGAGCGGTGCAGGCCACCACGAAAGCGGCGAAGCCTGCCACCAGCGGCCGCACAGCACGGCCAGTGCGAACGGCCAAGGCGTTCCACGGACCACGCCGCAGTGTGCGCCCTCAGCGTACCAGTGCTCGTCTATCGTCAGCCTAATTTGGAGAGCCTGTAACAGGACTATTTATTATGCGATACCCGGGACGTGTGTAAGGTGTACGACTGGGTTGGTCAACAATAATGCAATGTATTTGTATCGGATGATGGAGGATGGAGGGACGCAATGTTTGTATATTACTTTTCTTACTTTTCTGGGCAGCATAAGGAGCATTGCTTGTCTTGCGTGTGTTTTTCTCTGTAGCTAGCCTTTTTCTTTGGGGTGTTGGCGAAATGCAATTATTGATAGCAGATGTGCGTGGTTGAGTTTCACGTGTGGCATTGTGAGAATCAGCTATGGATCGTATGCGTCTCTGATTTTGCCCTCGTGGTATTTGAAAATGAAATTTTGTCCTGTCTACTTCACTTTTGTGTCGTCTCAAAGTATTACAAAAATTAGGACAAAATCCCAGTGCATGGTTTTTCATGTCGAATTATGAACCGCCATTAGATTCGTTTCATTTGAAAAGAAAAAAAAAAAAAAAGAGAAGAAAAATAAAGATAAAAAAATAAGACCCTGTTAATAATAAAATGTATTTGAAATTAAAATATCTCGTTTTTCGTAATTAAAGCCGTTTCGTAAACTAAATATTACGATATTTACATTTATAGTAGTATTTAAGTCGAGGGTCGTTTCTTTTACGACCCTTCTTTTTTTTTTAAGTAATTATTTATATAATATTTTGTTTTATTACACTAAACATATATAACAGAGGGTTTTTTTACGACTTTTTATTTTATTTTATTTTATTAATAAAAAGGTTAGAGACTTAATTTTTTCATTTTATTATTATTTTGACCTTGGTTTCCTTGTTGTGGTCGTACACGTAGATGCGGCCGGGGTTGCTGGCACCGCCCGTGCTCGATGCGAGTATGTTCTTGGAGGATCTCGATGTCTGCGTTGTCTTGTCTTGGTCTGTGAAATGGACATAGTCGCGGGACTTGGTGTTAGGGCTTTCGGACGCAGCGTGAAGGTATTCATTCACAACCGCAGCGGTCGGCTTCTCGAGAGTAATGTGTAAAAAGGGGCGCAGCGTTGCCTCGTTCTTGGCCTTTAGGCTGAAGGTAGACACAACGTTAGAAATATCGTAGGGTGACGAAAAGCACGCATCCAAGGGATTGAGGCGATCTTCCAGTTCCTGGAATTTTTGGTCATGTAGTGCTCCAAAGCCGGCCCAGCGGCGAAGATACCGGGGACAAAACTTACCGGCCACCGATGTGGTTCCTAGTGCGAACTGTGACCGGACCGTCTCAATCGTAAACTTGTCGTAGACGCGCTCGTTAATAAGATAAAGAAATTCGAGAAATTTAGTCTTAGTAACGTTCTTTTTTTACTCGGTAATAATGTTAACCTTCTCGGCGATAACTTTAGTATTCTTAACGATAGTGTTAACCTGGTCAGTTACGATTTTCTTGAGTCTCGGGATGATCTCGTCTTTCGAGGTTGATGACTCTCCCCCCTCCACAACAAGTATGTCTTCGGGAGGAGGAGGCGTCGAAGGGCCCTTGTCCTTCTCCATTGTCGCGGCGCAGTAGGCTGGTAGGATGGCGGTTTGGTGTCAGACGTGCGAACCGCGATGGGTATGGGCGTGGGCGTGGGCGGTGTTTGCGTGGGTAGTGTTACAAATGAAAACAAGGATCACGAAAGACGACAACCACAAGTGAAGGGAAGGAAAGAGCAGGCATCCCACTCCGTTTCAATATAAGTATAAAACGAGTTCGTTAATACACCGAGTAATTCCCCGAGTTTTCTAATTAAATAAACGTTTTTAACACGTTACGTTTACGTTTCGACGTAAAGTTGTTAATTAAATTTAGATGCTCATGCATATTCAACCTTCACGGTGGCATGTACCAACCAAAGGCAGTTGCACTGTCGACATTGTTCTCGGGGAAGCAATCCAGCAGCGAGAAAGCATCAATGTCCATGGCGGCGAGGTCATAGGTGTCGCCAGCTGGACTAAATGTGGCAATGGTGTTGGTGGTTGGGTTGGTGTGCCCGTTGGCGACAGCGGGCGGGATGCTTCCAACCGTGTTGAAGCCAGTGTTTGCGTTTGTCGGGATGTTGCCGACGCCACTACCAGCGCCGTCGAAGAAGCCTAGCTCGGAGTGGTAGTATGGAAACGCAGGCAGATAGTTGCGCACGGAAAGGGGGTCTGGCGGCACGGAGCCGGACGAAGAGGCTGAGTCGTCGAGTGGTGGTGGTCGCGGTTGTGGTTGTGGCGGTGGCGGCGAAACGGCCATGACGGGATCCGGCACGGTGGCAGGTGGCACGGCTGCCGCGACGACGTCGTCGATTTCGGTGGCCGCTGCTTCATCTTCGTCACGATCAATGCTGACCACCCGCGAATTCCCTAGACTGGCCGTGATAATGTCCAGGCTCCTGCGCACCAGCGGACACGACGCCATGCCCTGGCGCAGGGCGCGAAGGAACGTCTGGATCTTGCTGGCGGCGGCTGTATCTTGTCTGCGTCTGTGGCGGCTCTGCTTCATGTCCTGCACGAGCACCGACGCGCCCGTGTAGACACAGTAGGCCATCAGGTACGTGATGTGGTGGAATCCAAAGGTGCGTTCCAGCAGCAGCAGCAGGCGCTCCAACTGGTCGGCGGCGTCCCGGCAGGTGGCATGGTGGACGGCGGATGAGTAAAAGGGGCGATGCAGCAGGATGAGGGTTGTGTAGTAGAGCAGATTCTGGGTCAGGATGTGAGGCGGCGGGCAGACGGTGGTGTGGTCGGGGTCGGCAATCAAGAGGTGGGACGGGGTGGCAGCGCGCCAGGCGTCCAGGCGGTCGCGGAGGCGCTGTACGGAGGCAATGGAGGCAGCAGAGGTCGACGCCGTCGAACTGGGGGCTGGCCGGCGCCTCGAGTAGAGCTGCAGGACAATGTCGGACAGAATCACGGCCAGGCGGCAGGTGTTGGCAAAACACGAGATGGCGTGGGACTTTACGGGGGGATACAATGTGCGGCCAAAAAGAGGGTTTCCAGAGTTTGTGTTCCCAGAGGGGCTGGACGAGGCCGGCGCGGGAGGACGCCACAGCTCGTGCTCGGCAAAGTCGTCGAGCAGGTCCGGCGAGGCGTCGGGCGGGAGGTCGACGAGCGTCGGCATGCGGCCCAGGTAGAGGCTCATGGCCTTGTCCCAGAAGTAGCAGCTCCAGTAGAGGCGGCGGCGCACCTCGAGGTCCTCGGCGCCCAGCTGGCCCAGGCCCAGCAGCTGGCCGCTGCTGCTGTGCTGCAAGCCCAAGTCGGAGACCATGCGGAAGGCCATGCCGCTGTAGAGCCAGGCCTGGGAGATGTGGCCGTAAGCGAGGTCGCGGGCGGAGAGCTGCAGGAGGGCCTGGACGGTGGGGATGGTGCTGGGTTTGTGGATTTCGGCGCCGAGGAGGAGGCGGGCGCGAGAAATCAGAGCATCGCCGAGAAGGGTGCTGCCGCCGGCGGTCGCCGCCGTTGCTTCGGCGGTTTCCTCAAACCTCGCTGCATGACCACACAGGACAATCAACAGCAGTGGCGAATAGTACTTGCCCTCGCCGCGGGCCATGTCGCGCATAAACGCCGGGCGGTACACCCACATGAACATGGGTGCAATCCAGACCCAGTGGATTTGGAGAAGGCGGGCAAGCGCGGCGCGCGGTAGATCCGTCTGGTCGGCGGCGCTGGCCAGAGCAAAGGCCTCCCAGGCGCGGGCCTCGATGGCTCTGGTTGTGAGCAGGGCGCGGACGTCGGCCTTTGTGGTGGGGGCGGTGTCGCCTCTGTCCGGGGTCTGCTTGTTCGATGGGCGTGGTTCTTGTGTCTGGTGATGTAGACGGGCTCGTTTGAGACGGTGGCTGCCGCCTGTTGGACGGCTCGTGTCCCGAAACACATCCGCCTGGGCATCGTCGTAGGTCTGAATGGGCGAAGTGTGTGCCTCGATGTCGGGCGGGTTGTGCACGGCCGACGTCGGGCCGACATAGCAGAGCTGAACGTCGGTCAACAAGACAGGGGAGCGAATACAGGGAGAAAAGGAAGCAAAGTGAGAAAGAAGAGGAGAGCGAAGCGAGGACAGGAAAAAACAGTGAGGGCAGAGCGTACCTTGCCGTTGCTGTCGACGCTGAGGTCGAACAAGAGGTCCTGGGAGGGCCGGCGGGAAGTGGTGGGTGTTGGTCGGTCGGCCGTGGATGTGGATGCAGATATATCTGTGTTGCCTTCGTGTTTGAAGGGCGGTGACGTTGGGAGCGGATGCGCCTGCTGGGCAGTGGTAGTTGCTTCGGCCGCCATCGCTATCGCCATGGCTCTCGCCGGTTGCGCCGCTGACTTTGTCGCCGCCAGCTCCGCCCGCAAGGCCGCCACCGTCTCTTCTGCCTCCTGCAGCCGTCTCGCCATCGTCACAATCTGCGACATGGGCGGCGGCTTCTCGTACCGGCAGGTGTCCCGGTATACCTCGCACGTCTTGCATGTCGGCTGGCTGCCGTCGCAGCGGGTCTTGCGTGTGCGGCAGTTGGCGCACGTGAGGCCGCGGTGGGTGCGGAGGCGGGAATGCGCCTGTGCCCGGGACTGAGATGCGGTCGACTTTGTCTTGGTGGCGCCCGTCATTGGTGACGATGATGCAGACGGCGAGGTCGGACCTGCGGTTGCGCCTACAGCTTCTTTTCGGCCAGCCATGGCGGGAAGGGCAGAAACAGGGACGGAAGCTCCTATCGAAAAGATATCATGACATGATTGTACTCCGAAGATGGGGAAATATTTGACGTTTGAAAAATAGAAGATACATAAAAAAAATCCTAAAACGTTCAGAAATCTGCGTCTCCGCTCAAGCAACCGGGGCTAATACGGAGGCCTGGGGAAAGGACCGGGGTGTGGGGCCATGTGGGCGATGGTTGGAATCCGGGGCAAGCTACGAAATGCAGTAGCAATGCAACGGTACGCATACATATGTCGTACATAGCTCCAACGAGATTGGCGAGTGAACGAGTGACCATGGGGTTCGAAGGAGTTGTGGAGAAACGACCGGGCATCGTGCAAAAGTCAGTTAGTAGAACTGTAACAGAACGCCTTCGGAAGTTTGCCCACGATAGCTGGCGAAGCCGCAATCTTATTCATGCTAGCTTCACAAGAGTACGCTGCCGTACACTGACAAACATGATGCGTAATTCCGTGATGCTCGGGTCTTTATGAGCTGTGTCAACCTTATTCTTGATTCAAACAATCGAGCACTCATATTTCGAATTGTCTACTCATGAAGCAGATGACTGAGCTCATATTGGTGACATCGACCGTATTCATTATTTATTATCTCGCAGCTGCTCCACGATTGACGCGTTGAGTATGTGGACACTAGCAATTTGACCTCGATGAGACACGTCCGTCGGTCGACTTCCACGGCCGGTTTCCTGTCTTACACGACACTGCTGTAGCGGAAGCATACAGCCTCTGTAGTGCGCGGTAGTCTAGCGGTAACTAACACGCCGCAATCGAGGAAGCATCGTTCCGGCAGAGCAATGGGCAGAGCACGAGAAGTGTAAGATGGCAGTTCACGGAGGGAATGCGCCCGTTTACGGCCTCAGTGTATTCCGTGAAGAGCAATTCAACGGCATCCGAATTATCGACGTAAGTCGTTTCTGTTCTGTGTCTGTTCATGACATTCCCACTGTCTGTTGTCAATGGCTGTAATCAGTGCATGCTTTCACGTGTCATCCCCGCCAACAGCCCCCACGTTCGCCGCCCCGAAATCAACCGCGCTCGCCTTCCATTTGCCCTGGAAGGCGCCTGTGGCCGGCCCACTACGTGCATTCCGCAGTGGGTAGAATAGGCCATTCTCGGGATCAGTGCCGTCATCGGACAGGTCCAGAGAGCAGCTGAGCTATCAAGTTCCTTTCTTCAATAGCTCGACAACTCAACAACTCGACCCCCTCCCCCCAAAGACAAGAATGTCCTTTCGTGTGCCATTCCGAGCTGCGTGTACACTCTTGACGACTGCCCACAGACTGCCTGCTCGGTGTTCTCTCATACCACCCGTTCCATTTGTGTGCGGCCCTCCCAGTTGTCGAGCTTCTTTTCGATTTTCCTCCACCATGGCCGACCCCATTGTCGAGGAGCTCAAGGCCTTTACGGCGTAAGTCTGTCGCCCCCTCCACGATACAATACGCGTTCAGAGTTCACCGACTAACGTCTCCAGGTGCGATGTCGCCGACGCCCTCCTCAAGCTCAAGGTGCCCAACGGCGGCTTTCTCGCCGGCATCACCCTCTGGTCCCCCGAGCGCCAGGCCGGCGCCACCAAGATTGTCGGCCCGGCCTACACCGTCCAGTACGCCCTCAACAGCGACCCGACCCCCAAGGTCCCGGGCCACTACATCGACGGCATCCCGTCGGGCGCCGTCGTCTTCATTTCGAGCCCCGACACGCCCAACGCCGTCTTTGGCGGCCTCATGGCCACGCGCGCCCAGGCCAGCGGCGCCGCCGGTACCGTCATCGACGGCCGCCTGCGCGACCTGCAGGAGCACCGGGACCTGGGCTACGCCGTGTTTGCGCGGGACGTGAGCACGACGTCGCCCAACGCCGTGGCCAAGGTGGTGGGGATTGATGTGCCCGTGACCTTTGAGGGCCCGTACCGGCAAGGGGTCACCATTGCGCCGGGCGACTACGTGGTGGCCGACGTGAACGGCGTCGTGGTGCTGCCCAAGGCCCTGGCCGCCGAGGCCTTGCCGCTGATGGCGCCGCAGGTGGCGGCCGACCAGAAGATGGCCGAGGCGATCAAGGGCGGGATGACGTTTGTGGAGGCCAGCAAGGCGTTTCGGGGCAAGTGATGAAGGATTACGGGATGTACGAGCAGCACGTGAAGTGAGAAACAAAAAACATACGATACACCAATAGAACGCGATTCACAACGGTACACGGGTATCCTTTTCTCCCCACCAGCTGTCACTACACGACGATCCACCATTTATGCTTTTGTGCGTGTGTGCGTGTCTGTGAGTGTGCACAGACAGCATGGCCTGCGACGCATCGTCGTGGCCGCTCAATTGTACTGCATCTTGGCCTTGTCGTCCAGGCAGATGCACATGGCTGCGACAATGGCCATGTCCATGCCCGGCGCCACCACCACCGCGTACGAGGACTGGTGGAACACCAGCTCGCGCGCGTTCAGCAGCTGGCGGTCGATGCGCGCGACCACGTGGCCTGTGTCGTCCTTGATGTCGCCGCGCAGGTTGTTCCAGCTGCCCCTCATCGTCAGGGCCTCGGGCTTGCCGGTGGCCTTGGTCGCGAAGTGGGCCGTCGCAGAGGTGCTTAAGACTGGGTACCGTCCCAGTTAGCAAATGGGGAGAGGAAAGGGGGGAGAGGGGGTGGACAAGGGAAATTGTTTGGTTCGTTGTCTCACACCGAATGTTGTTCCGGAGCTCAAAAAACTTGTTGCCGCTGGGGTCCTCCAGGACGTAGGTCGTGTGGACGTGCATCAGGTCGCGGTAAATGTCAAAGAGGTGCGTGCCACTGGCGGCGTCGAACACCGACCGGCGCGCGCCCACCGAGAGCACCTTGGCCTTGACTTTCAGCAACGGCCTGCCGTCGGCCAGGAGCACATCGAAGGAGTCGCCTGGCAGCGACACAATCTTTTCCTTGAGGACAAGCGTCTCGGTCTTGTCGGACGTGTACTGCGGATAGACGCCGACAGGCGCCGGCAGCGGGTTGAGTGCGTACGCCATGGTGGGGGTTTGTTCAGCGAAGCTGTTTGTTGTAAGCGGCGGAGTTGAAGAAGGGGATCGGGGAACGGGGCGTAGTGGGTAGACGTGAAATGGTCGTGATGCGATGTGTTCTGCGATATGGTAACGCGCTGAGAAAATGGCAAACAAAAAACAATCAACGTGTACTCTTTATGTGGAAGAACAGAGAAAAGAACAAATACTGCCGCGCATCTTTCAATAGCTTCTTTCTCTCCTCCGTTCCCCTCGATCGTTTAAGCTTCATGCGATCGCTGGTGGTTCAACGCACTAGAACGGGCCCTGTCAACCTAAGAGGCGGAGTCTTGTACGGATCGCTTCAGTGCCACACCGCGAGGCACAGCGGAGCTCCGCGGTGCTATTCGCCGCGGAGATTTTGCTGACATGTCAAACAGAGGTGGCATTTCGGAGTCAATTGATGTATGCTGGTGACTCTTCACGCTCTCGTTATCCGCGACGATGTCGAGGCACACGACCTTGAAACTCCTTCCACGGCTTGACACCCAGTATCCAGAAGTAAATAATATTAAGCCGCCACCGAACGTGATCATTAAAAAGGTAGTGAAATAATCAATAAATTACAACAACGGGAACTCAAAGTAACGCAAAACCGGGGAAAGAAAGACACGAAATCCTGATGAATGCCATGACGGGGCCCAAGTTATGCCTACAAAACAAACGCCGCCGCAAAAATCAAGCAGGTGTAGAGCATCGTCGTCCTCGAGGCTGTGGTCAAGGATCGTCGCGCGGGCCAGCGACGGCCGTTTCGGTCTTTTCGTCCATGTCGGCGTTATTTTCAAAGTCGTAGCAGAACGAGTGGTTGCAGAACAAGTAGTGACGCAAATAAGTAAAAGAAGCGAGTATTGGTAGCAAGCGTCGATGGAAATAAAAAGAAAAAGAAAAGAAAAGAAAGAATAACAAGAAAAGGAAAAGAAGCGAGTGTACTCCGTAGAAAGAGGTAACATGAAATCAAATAACGGCTCACCAAATCTTATACATATAAAACGAAGGTAGAGGCATCGGGAGGGTTTCAATGGATTTCATGCGGTCTCTTTTGTTTATGTTACGTTTGAGTCTTCTCAATGACCTTTTATTTTTTGCCATTCGTTTCATTCACACAATAGGTTTTTCAATTAACACGTAGGTTTGGGGTGTAATATTCCTGAAAATGTAACTGCATCATTAAAAAATAGCTGCCTTCTAAGGTGTCATCCCATCTACCTGTTTTCTCTACATGAATGGGCATCGTTAAGGGCACTACTACAATTTTATCAACAGCAGCTCTCTCATCACGGCTTTTGCCACCGACCTCGACATGTTCATGGTCCCCAAAGGAGTCGATGTGCCTCGTTGGTGCTACTCTCCAAGTATAAATAGCTGCACTCCTTACGATACGTAAACCCTGCCCCGTACGAATATCGATAGTCAGTGCAACCGAAGTGCACACGACAAGTACACAACAAGCCACAACATACAGCTACGAAAGAGTGAACCGAGACACACCGCCAATATGACCCACGACGAAAAGGCCTCGTCCAACCCGGACCCGTCGCCGGCCATCCCACCCTGCCCCGGCCCACCGCCCGATGCGCCTCTGCCTCCGGTGCCACAGTAGAGTCACATCGGAAACAGGTGGCACGCGAGATTGGAAAGGCACGACAGCAAAGCTGAGACAAGAGATGCGTTGATGGTGCAAGTTCATTGTCGATGATTTTACTCAGATAATTCACAGATAGAATCGAAAGTATCAATATTGCAGCGGATATGTTACGTTGTACTTAACGTTCCACCGGTCTTGCCAGTATATTTCGGGACTTGGACAGACCTCAGCCGAAGATAATATAAGAAACAGCTCATTGAAGTAACTGTGTCATCATCGTAGAGTTTCAGCCTCGTCAACCAATATCATACTCGCTATTCAATACAAAAACAGGTGTCTAAGGTGCAGTACAACGGATTATCAAATTATTGAAGAAAAGTGAAAATGATTCACCAATGTATGGTTCCTCGGCAGATTGTATGGTTCCTCGGCAGATGATAAGGTGCCGATGTACTTTTGTAACGGAAATTGTCTGGCTTACGACCACCAGATATTTTCACAGTCAGTATTCATTAAGGTGCATAAGTGGTCTTATTCGCTGACAACATCATTTGTTCTCTTTGTTCGATGCCTTGGTGGTCACTGCCGTCGCTACCTGTGTGACAGCGTCGAGATCGTGACAAGGACGGCCCTTTATCAAGCTGTGACTCTCTACTTCGCTCGCCTTTTCAGAGGTTTACAGAAAAGTATAAATACCCACCCATGCCAACGACAAGTAGACGACAAACTGCCCTATCCATCAAACAATTCCTCTACCAACCCACAGACTATCGTCACTCTCAAGAATCGACTGATATACGACACTTTGACGTTTAAACCCCGGCACAACAAACACACAATGCCTGGTGATAAGTCCGTCAAGAAGCCGCCCCCGCGGCCTCCGACACCGCACCCGTTGTCTCAGTGATCCTAGACGCGAGTGCCACTAGATTCCTCATGGAAATAGCTTCCGGCAGCAGCGATCAATACTGCTGGCCACAATGTGATGGCTATACATAGGGACTTTTTTGGTGCTGGACGGATCATCCCGGCGCTCAACAAGTAGCAATGCGTTTTTTTTGGAGCGAATAAAACTTTACGTTCTCTTGACTTTCTGTGCAACGTTGAAATTGACTTAGTGTCTTATTTATGTTTTTTTTTATAAAGAGATCACAAAATCTAAGTCCCCAATCCGGGTTTTTATGTCGTCATTGCACAGCGAACGCGCGGATCATCAAATGTGGGGTTCGGCCCAGGCACAATAGATACGGCGTATTACGTCGATGTCGATCTTTCGTCGCGCCGCCGCCTCCGCCTCACAGCTTCGCCTTGATGACAGGTTTTTGTCGGAGATGGAGTTTACGCGGACATGTACCGCCGACAAGCTTTTTTGTAGGTCGGTCAGCGGGTACCTTATCTTGGCACTCTATATAGTCCCCTGGAACTGTACGCCGTTCTTTCTTCATCTTCTTGCCAACTTACATTGTCGTTCATGAGTCGTCAGCATTGCGCGCATTCGAATTGCCATTTTCCGCGCCATCTACCATATACGCTATATACCGCCCCTATGGCCGACATTGCTAAAAAGATCATCCCCGCGCCCGGCGCCCGTCCCGACGTCAAGGCCGACGCGCAGCGCATTTTCGACGTCTTACACGGCGGGGGCCTCGTGGTGATGCCGACGGAGGTCGGCTACGGACTCATTTCGGCGTCCAAGGAGGCCATTGAGCGGTCCTTTGCCGCCAAGAAGCGCGCGCCGAACCACACCCAGGGCATCCTGGGCACGATTGGCCTGCACCGCAAACTACACGTCTTGCCCGACGAGACGCACGAGATGATCCGCGTCTTGCACCAGGACCTGGACCTGTCGTTTGGTGTGGTCGCGCCGTTCCGCAAAGACCACCCCGTGCTGTCCCATTTGTCAGAGGCCACGCTGGCCAACGTCACCAAGCCCGACGGCACGGTGGCCATGTACTTGGGTGGGAGTGCGCTGCTGCTGGAGCTGGGGCGCATCAGCGACGCGGCGGGCGTTCTCCTGCTGGGATCGAGCGCCAACATCACGGGCACGGGCCAAAAGTTCCGGCTCGAAGACATGGACCCGGAAATCCTGGAGGCAGCGGACATTATCGTCGACTACGGCCTGCAGCGGTACCACGTGTACAAGGGCCGGGCCTCGTCCATAATTGACTTTGCCAACATGAAGACGGTGCGCGTGGGATCGTCGTACGAGCTGATTCGGGAGCGGATGCACAAATTCTGGGGCATTGAGCTGTCGCCGGACCCAGATTACCCATAGAGGTGGACGAGGGTCATAGAAGGATATTTGTATAGACGTTGAAAAGTATAATTAGATTATAAGTGTGGAAAATTACTAATGAGACGCGAGTGAGAAGTCAACACGGACCAGAAAAAAAATAACAAAACAAAAAACTCCACAATGCCAAAAAATCAACGTACAGCAGCGGGTATTCGCTGGTCGTCACCGACCCAACTACTAATCCGCCGATTAAAGGTTTGACTAGGGGAGAGCGGACGGGATCCCGTATTTTCCTTTATCTATGGCCGTACGTGTAAGATTGTGATCGATAAGTGTATATAAGTTGTGAGTTGGTCCAACTGCCGTGACAAAATGTACTTATGGAACAGTAACGAAAAACTAAATTTAGAAAGCTCGAAGCGTCCCAGTGTCTTTGCTATGTATTTGCTTTGTTGGTTCATTTCTAAGACACGTAACGAGTCGTGCAATTCATACTTTTCCTTTTGTTTGTGCTTTTCCTGCATTCATTTGTTTTTTTTTTTTTTTTTTTTTCAAATAACGTCTGCCAGTTACCAGGCTCACGAAACGGTCGCCATCCCTCCGTTTGGGTGTAGAATCTGTCCCGTCATGTAGCTGCTGTCCTGCGACGCCAGAAACACAAAGTTTGTCGCTACCTCCACTGGCTGGCCCCATCTCTTGAGGAGCGTACTGTCCGGAATGCTCTTCTGCGACTCTTTGTTGAGAGACGACACGATCAGCGGCGTCCAGATCGGGCCGGGCGCCACGCCGTTGACACGGATGCCGTTCTTGGCCTGCTGGTTGGCCAGTGTGCGCGTAAATGTCACCAAGCCGCCCTTGGAGACCGCGTAGTCGAGGTGCGTCGGCGGGCCCACGTAGGCGTCCACCGACACCGTGTTGATGACAGTGCCGCCGTGGCCGCCGCTGCCCTTTTGCAGGTGCGGCAAGGCATACTTGGTGACGAAGAAGGGTGCCGTCAGGTTGATCGCCAGCGTGCGGTCGTACTGCTCTTCCGAGCTATCTACTGCTCTTCCGAGCTATCAAACTATTTTGTGGCAATCCCATCAAAGCAAAGAAACCACGTTTAATTAGTGAGACGATCTGCTAATCTCAATACATTCGTATTTCAATAAGGTATGGTGTGCGTGGTAGATGTGTGGTCGCGACGTCGTCCTTGAGCTTGTCCACAATCGCATATGATATATATTCGGAGTTTAGAATCCATGACGCCACACTCGACGTAATGCAGCCATTACAAGCGGTGCCGTTCTCAGTAGCCAATCCCGCTAGTTTCAACGTCCACTTACATCTCAACCACAAAAAGCCGTTGTCCGTTCTACAACAAAGGCTAGAACCACCACTCGTCATCGACACCTCGGCGCTGTAACCGTGCAACGGTGAAGCAGGACCTAAATCGAGATGAGCAACACCAGCTGTGTCACCTGTTAACGTTACTGTTATCACTTTTGAAGCGCTTTTTGAAGCACCAAGCACCAGTTCTCTCCCTGGTTTCCTTGCTATTCTTGTACCCCCCTTCTATCCTTTCGGGTCATGGATGCCAGAGTCTTGCAACTGAATTTGTTCGACGTCATAAGCGACCGGCAGATGACAGCCCTGAGAACTACGACGGATTGTGATTGACGAGTAGAAATGGTATTGCACTGTGCACGTCTACTGTGAGAGGCGACAAATGCCCGTATGTTGCTCGAAATATAAGACGTGAGGAGGGGTTGTCCTCTCGCCCGTCAAACGTAGACGAAAGCAGTTTTCACAGCACATCTTTTGTCCTGTCCATCGTATCCTGTCCAGAGCCAATACCCACAACCCACCAACCGCCATTATGACGTCTGCCAACGCCAAGTTTGACGACTTGGCGAGAAACACGCATGAGATCAGCGAGTCGGCCACGCTGACCTCGGACTACGGCGTACACCAGGCTAACAACGACAGCTGGCTGCGCATTGTCGACAACGAGAACGGCCGCAGCGGGCCGAGCCTGCTCGAGGACCCGTTTGCGCGCGAGAAGATTCACCGCTTCGACCACGAGCGCATCCCCGAGCGCGTCGTGCATGCGCGCGGCACAGGCGCATTTGGCACGTTCCGCGTGCTGGACAATGCCGTCCTCAAGGACCTGACCACGGCGCCCGTGCTGACCGACACAACGCGCGAGACGCCGATTTTTGTGCGCTTCTCGACGGTGCTGGGCAGCCGCGGCAGCGCCGACACGGTGCGCGACGTGCGCGGCTTTGCCATCAAGTTCTACACGCCCGAGGGCATCTGGGACCTCGTGGGCAACAACATTCCCGTCTTCTTCATCCAGGACGCCATCAAGTTTCCGGACGTGATCCACGCCGGCAAGCCGGAGCCGCACAACGAGGTGCCGCAGGCCCAGTCGGCGCACAACAACTTCTGGGACTTTATGTTTATGCACCCGGAGGCGACGCACATGTTCATGTGGGCCATGTCGGACCGGGCGATCCCGCGCTCCTACCGCATGATGCAGGGCTTCGGCGTCAACACGTTTACGCTGGTCAACGCCGCCGGCGAGCGCAGCTTTGTCAAGTTCCACTCGACGCCCGTGCTGGGCGTGCACTCACTCGTGTGGGACGAGGCCCTGAAGCTGGCGGGCCAGGACCCGGACTTCCACCGCAAGGACCTCATGGAGGCCATTGCCAACGGCGTGTTCCCCAAGTGGCGGTTTGGCGTGCAGGTGGTCGCGGAGGCCGACGAGCACACGTTTGCCGACTTTGACATTCTGGATGCCACCAAGGTCTGGCCCGAGGACCGGGTGCCGGTGCGCTACTTTGCCGAGTTTGAGCTGAACCGCAACGTCGACGAGTTCTTCACGCAGACGGAGCAGGCGGCCTTTTGCACGAGCCACGTGGTGCCGGGCATCGGCTTCTCGGACGACCCGCTGCTGCAGGGCCGCAATTTCTCCTACTTTGACACCCAGATCAGCCGCCTCGGCATCAACTGGGAGGAGCTGCCCATCAATCGGCCCGTGTGCCCGGTCATGAACTTTAACCGCGACGGCGCGCTGCGCCACGCCATCACCCAAGGCAACGTCAACTACTGGCCCAACCGCTACCATGCGCACCCACCGGCGTCCGTCGACGGCAAGGCCGCCGCCGCCAACGTCTACGCCGAGTACGCCGCCAAGGCCGCCGGCATCAAGGCGCGCACGCTGACGCCCAAGTTCCGCGAGCACGTGCGGCAGGCGCAGCTCTTCTACAACAGCCTGTCGCGCGTCGAAAAGAGCCACCTGACCAGCGCCTTGGCGTTTGAGCTGGACCACTGCGACGACCCCGTCGTGTACACGCGCATCGTGCAGCGGCTCGCCCAGATCGACACGCCGCTGGCCCAGGCCGTCGGCGACATGGTCGGCGGCGAGGCCAAGGAGGCGGCAGACAAGGACAAAGAGGGGCGCGCCAGCACCAACGACGGCACGATCGCGCCGGGGCTCTCGCAGTTTGACTTTTTGCCGGAGAAGCCGACCGTGGCCGGCCGCCGCGTGGCCCTTCTGGTCGGCGACGGCTTCGACGCGGCCGCCGTCGACCTCGTCAAAAAGGGCCTGGCCGCCGAGCAGGGCGTGCCGCTGCTCATTGGCACGAAGCGCAGCGCCATCACCGAGGCCGGCGCCGGCGCCGGTAGTGCCCTGCGCAGCAGCCCCTCCGTCACGCCCGACCACCACCTCGAGGGCTTCCGCTCGACCATGGTCGACGCCGTGTTCGTGCCCGGCGGCAAGGCCTCCATCGAGGCGCTGGTCCAGCCCAAGGTCAAGGGCCGCGTGCTGCACTGGCTGCGCGAGGCGTTTGGGCACCTCAAGACCATTGGCGCCACGGGCGAGGGCATTGCCCTCGTGCAGGAGGCGCTGCACGGTGTACCCAGCATCCAGTTTGCTGCGGTGGATGCCGAGGCGGTCGGCCAGCTGGCCCAGAGCTACGGCGTCGTGACCGCGCCGGCGCCCTCCAAGGACTTTGCCAAGGCCTTTTTCGAGAGCATTGCCCAGCACAGAAGCTTTGACCGCGAGATGGATGGCCTCAGCACTTTGGTGGCCTATTAGGGGAGGGGGGGAGAAAGGGACAAAGAGATAACTAATGCTGAGACGTTTTGATTTGCCGGCCAATTTGTCGTTACGCCTTCGATTTTTTGAAAAATGCAGGAACTCGTCTCGTACTTTCATAATTCTTACAGCCACGTTTTTAGCCTTTCAGCCGCACGACAGTGTCTTCCAAGTAAATGATAGCATCTGGAGACTACATTTTGCAGTGAAGAAGTTTTTACCTGACAAGACGCCAACCAATGACTCTCGTTAGCTCGTCGGCCGTCGGTGTTAGTGGTTTGGACCCACTTGGCGTCATCGGCCGCTGGCGTTAACAGACGTCGTCTTCGTTTATGCTAACGAAGTAAGTCGGCCAGTGGACTTAAGGGCCGGTGTGTGTGTGATTGCAGCCTGGTTTTACCTCTTGTGACATTCATCTTGGACCTTTGTGACGACGGACAATGCGGACATCGAGAAATATAAAAAGGGCGGTTCGTCCTCGGGGAAGTTGTTGCTTTTTACTCTCCCACAGTCACTCAACAGTCAATTCTCAATCATCTCCAACATAATCACGTTGATATCCTCATATCTATTTTCACTTTCAGCATCTTTCCCAACCAACCAACCAACCAACCCAACATGTCCACCCCCGTCTTCTTCGTCACCGGCGCCAGCTCCGGCTTCGGCAAGGCTGTTGCGCTCGACGCTCTTGGCCGTGGCTACCATGTGGTCGCCTCTGCCCGCGACGCCAGCAAGCTGTCTGAGTTGAAGGCCGCCGGCGCCGCAGTCGTCGACCTCGACGTGTCCGCCGGCGACGCTGTTGTGGCGGCCGCCCTCCAGACGGCCGTCGACCTCTACGGCGGTCTCACGCACGTGGTCAACGCCGCGGGCTACGTTCTCGAGGGCGCCGTCGAGGAGATCACTCAGGACGAGGTCGCCGCCATATTCGCCACCAACGTCTTGGGCACGACGGCCACGGCGCGTGCGGCCGCCCCGCTGCTCCGGGCGTCCAGCCAGGCCGGCCGCCAGACGGCGCTCGCCAGCTTCGGGTCCCTCGCCTCGTACACGGCCGCGCCGTCGGCCGCGCACTACAGCGCCACAAAGGCCGCCGTGTCGCGGCTGATGGAGGCCATCGCGCAGGAGCTGGCGCCCTGGGACATTGACGTCACCACCATCGAGCCGGGCTACTTCCGCACCGAGCTCCTGAACACGGGCGCCGGCTCCGGCGTGTCGCGCATGATCACGCCCAAGACGCGCCTGGCCGTCTACGACGGGACGCCGGTGGCGGCCACCCGCCGCGACTTGGCCGCGGTCAACAACAAGCAGATTGGCGACGTGGTCAAGGGGTCGCGCGTCATCGTCGACGTGCTGACGCGCACGGGCGTCGCCCACGGCCGCAAGGCGCCCGTCAACCTCGTCCTGGGGGCCGACTGCGTTGACCGGGCGCGCAAGACGTGGGCCGAGCGCGAGGCGTCGCTCAAGGAATGGGAGGACGTGTCGCGGTCGACGGACCACACGGAATAGACGGAAGACGACGGTGGAAGCGTAAAGCAGCTACATTATGGGGTGATGTTATGTAGGTAGTGCGGAAAGAAAATAGAATGAAAATTGGTATTAGTATGATTGAAATTGTTCTCATAAATGCGAAGCAGGTCCCGACACGTTTGTGAGTCTAAAAATGACAATTTTTGATTCATATTCTGTATCACTTACTCTTTCCTTGTCGAACATTTTGCGGCAATTCTGCCTTCGTGATGCTGGATCGAGCAAGCCGGGCATAAAGAACAAGATATACTCCGTACTGGGACCAATGGCGTTAATTGTGCCGACGGATTGTGTGGGGTTTGGAGCGGCACCCTTTCGTAATTACGGCAGTATGATGACAAATCGTTACGCCATTCACGACGTTCGCGAACCAAACATCTTCCAAACTGACAACGTCACGGGGCACACTCTAGAGACTCGTTCGATTCTCACGAAAACAAACTCATGGAGGGCATTGCTTCAGGACAATTACTCGCAGGCGGCAGAGACGGGGTCAACGGCACTCTGGACACGGATCAGACGCTCCATGCCTGCCCTCTCTGCAGCAAACAGTTTAGTCGCAGTACGATTTTCATTATTCGCTCTTCCGACCGCTGTCGCTCATATTGTTTTATTTTGCTCGTCGTTGTCACTAACCACTGATTCTACCCCGACGTATAGAAGACCTAAGGGACAGACACAGGCGGCGGTGCCAAAAGTCCATTGGCAAAATCCGGCCACCGAAGAAGAGAGCGTGCGCGAGATGTACGGCATCGAAGCTCAAATGCGACTATGAAAAGCCATCCTGTATGTTTGTTCCGCTCAGTCCACCCGTTTCATCAACTGACACATGTTCGCTCAGGCAGCCGGTGTCTTTCTCGGTCCGCCGCCTGCCAGTATAACACTGGACAGGGTTCTAGGCCGGCAATGACCGACGTTTCTGGAGCATACCAGCCTGAATATGAGCAGTATAACGCTGCAGAAGATGTACTAGACTTTATGCCCTCGCACCAATTAACTGATTCTGATACACTCCCGTCTGGAACGATCGCGGGGTTCGACAACAACCCGAATGGCGGGTGGGACGAGCTGGACCTCTCTGGACTCGGTGGAGATCTTTTTCTGAAGGATGCGGATCTCTTCAACGGCCCGGGCGAGCCACAGAGCGTAGACTTTGTCGACGAAACGACCACCCTCCAGACTCCCACGGCCACACCCGGAGGACTGCACGAACAGCAGAGGGATCACACCAGCAGTGAACAGAGCAACAGTTTGTCGGCGCCGTTCTCGCTACACTTTCAGCCCAAGTCGATCCTCCAGCCAGCCGACCATCTAGCCCATCTCATTGCCCGGTCGCTGGCCGCAACGGCCGCTGCTGAGCGTTCGCCGGGCGACCACGGACGCCTGCGAAAACGGCCGCGGCTCTACCACGGCATGTTTAGCCTGGGCGAGCTGGCCCGGTTGGTGGGGGAATACCCGATGCGCATGCTGCAGCCGACGTTTTGCTCGCCGTTTATCCACCCGACGCTGTGCCGCCGCCGCGCCGACGGCAACGGCCCGCCAACGCCGCTGGCCGTGGCGTTTGCGTGTGTCAGCATGAAGATGCACATGGAGAGCGAGGGCACGGAGTTTGTCTGCGAGACCATGTCCCACGAGCAGGACAAGCTGATAAAACAGTTGGTGCGTCGTCTGGCGACGTCGTTGTTCAGTTGTTTCCGTTGAGAACATGCTTGCTAACGCTGTCCCCCTAGCCCGGCATTCTGCACGACTACGAGCATACCTGCGTCGTCCTGCAAGCCCTCTGCATCTACGGCATCGAGGCCTTGATTGCAGCCAACCGCTTCCCCTCACGGCTCAACGCGGCTGTGCTGCACCACGAGTACCTGGTCCGGGCGACACGGCGTCTTTTGCAGCAGCTGGCCAGCGCTGCCCCGGACGGCCGCTTTGCGCACTCGTTTCTCGGCGCGCCCTCTGCTGTCGACTGGAAGACGTGGGTTGTGCAGGAGTCGCTCCGCCGCACGCTCTTTCTGGTCTACATTGTCCACGAGCTGCTCCACGGGGCCGAGACGCTCGACCATGCTTACTTTGAGCCGCTCTTTACCAAGGACGACGACGGCATGTACGAGCACATGGTGCTTCCGTCCAGCGATGCGCTCTGGCAGGCAGCGAACGAGGAAGAATGGAGGCGTACTGTAGATGCGGAGGCACGGCAGCCTCCGTCGGATCCGGTCCTCAAGCTGGGAGACGCAGAACGGCGCGTGGCCGAAGGGGTGGAGCCGTGGATCACCACCGATTTTCCACGGCTCCCCGAGCTCACACGGCTCATTCTCTCCGTCAGTCCACTCTACATTGCGTCACAGCGATGCACGTTCTCGCAGACACTGCTGAGCACACCGGCAAATGTTTCAACCTAAGCTCGCTACATACACGTCGTCGCAGTCTTGCTCACGCTTTGAACGAGCTCAGCCACTCCTCCATCTCGGCCGCCCGTGCCGCACCACTCTCCAGGGTCGGCCATTCCGGGGTTTTGCGGATGTCGTCTTTCGTCAGGCCGCGCTTGGCGTCGGCATACGCGTACAGCAGCGTCTGCGTGGTGCGCGCCCGTGGATTCACCTGCAGCTGGAGGTCGCTGTAGCCCCACGGCACGTCCTCGACTTTGTTCGTGTCAAACGTCCAGAGCTGAATGGTGAGGCCGTCCGGGCCCGGGTCCGTCTCAAACGACGTTCCGGCCGGCTCCACGACGCGGATCTTGCCCGTGGTGCCCGTCATCGTCCATTCTAGCGATGGATGGCCGGGGAACTGGAAGCCGCGCTCGTAGTGGAGGGTGAGCGTGGCCGGCTCGTTGTGGGTGCGGGCCGACTTGACGAAGCCTATGTTGTGAGGGAGTGTGAGCAATTGCGCGCGAAAATGATTATGCCCTGGTTTCAGAGGAAAGTGACTTACCATGAAGAGACAGGAGATCGGGAACGTCGGAGCGAACGGTCTCGATAATCCCCTTGGTGGCCGGATCGATAATTTTTATTTCTGGCTTCTGCAGCTGCGTGTGCGAGTGCAAAGTCCCCGGGATAAAGTTGCCGACAGTTGTTTCGACAGCATCCAGCACTGCGAAGGGTTAGCCACGTTCGATAATACAGGCCCACGTCCATTTCATGTTGTGCTCACAATGTCCAATGATAATCGTAATGGGATTGCCGCCAACGGCGCGCTCGACAAAGTACTTGAGCCCGGCCGGTTTCACGTCCGAGCTCACAAAGCCGTTGTGCACGTTCACCTGCACGTTCAGCAGCTTGCCAATCGCCCCGGCGTCCAGCAGCTCCTGTACCTTGAGCACCATCGGCGCATACCGCCGCTGCACGCCCACAACCGTGCCGGCACCGCTCGCCCGGGCCGCCGCCACGAGCGCCTCCGTGTCCGCCAGGTTCGACGCAATGGGCCACTCCACATACACGTCCTTGCCGCTCTGGAGGCTGGGCAAGAGGGCGGCGTAGTGCGTGTCCACGCGCGTCGAGCACAGCACAAGGTCGACGTCGGGGTCGGCCGCCAGGTCGTCGGGGTGGCCGTACGCCTTGGTCGTCTTCGGGTCGAGTCCGTACGCTTGGATGGCCGCCTCGGCCTTGGCGACGCTCGTGTTCAACAGCGCCACAATCTTAAACCGCTCACGCCCGGCATCGGTCAAGAGATTGGGGAGGTGAGCAGTGGATGCCCATGACGTGGTGGCTGATTTCGAGAGGCCGATGATGGCGACGCGGACAGGCGGTGGGGACATTTTGAGGCGCGGCGAGCGAAGTTTCTTTTTACTTTAATGCACAGGAAAGAAAAGTAAATGATTTTGAATATGTTTAAACCTTGAAAAAAAGAAAGACGAAGAAAGGTGTGCCTGAGCACTGTATTTATGCATGGAGTCTTCGGCATCGGGGGACGTTGGTCTAAGTGCATTTTCGGACTTCGGGGGACGTGGACGCTAAGCATAGGGCGAACAGCACCTGAGTGTATAACGACCGAAAATCTGCGGCTCTACAGACATGTCCATTGCATTTTCAATGTTATAAATTTTCATTTTCAACCAAGCAGCCGAATGGATTATCTCGCCTTATAGCCCCCCAACCCCAAACAAAGTCCTACATGAAACTCACCACACTCTACTTGCCCCTCGCTTTCGATACTTCGGTAACAAATCATACTTGCACCTTGCTTTAGAACCATAGTACCCTACTTTGAGGTAACGCCATCTAATATTTTCTCATTAATGGCATGCTTTTCGTCTCTTCGCATTTCCTTATGCGCCTCAATCTGACAACCCTCAGCCACAATCGTATACACGAATACTGGCATGCTTTGACCAGGTCGGTACACCCTGCCAATGACCTGGTCCTCCCACGTTTGCTTCCAGAATGGGCAGCATTGGATGACCACATTTGCACATTGGATGTTGAGTCCCACACCCCTGGCGCCGCGGCTTAGAAGCATCACTTTGGGCTCGGTCGTCTCCCGGAACGACTGGAGGACGCAGCTCCGCACGTCGGCAGGGATGCTTCCATCGTAGCTAAAGACCTTTGTTTCTGGATGCAACTTCCGAAATGCGACTTTCAGGATCGAAAGGAACAGAACGTACTCATCTACGACGAGAATGGCGTCTCCGGGGCGGGCATGTCTGTGTTGCATAACCGTGCGCAAAACGGCTTCCACGCGAGCTGACCGCCAGCCCTCGCCCTCTTCCAGCTGTGACAACAACTCCGTTCTGGTACTGGCGTCCCTGTCGCAGCACAGGCTGTCATGGTCAGGGTCATCGGGGTCACCAGGGTCGAGAAGCCCATCCTCGAGCCACGGGACGCTCCACAACTGGGGGTGGTACGCTATCTGCTGGGATTGAAACAACAGGGAAAATGCTTCAGCTGCGTCTTCACGTGTTTGTTTGTGCTTTGATCCCTTTCCCTTGCTTTGACCGCCTCGATCAATCTTGCCGGCGGCATCCGTGAACTTTTTAAAGAGTTTGTTGGAGTGCACCAGCTCTATTTCTGGCAGGGGAAAAGTGATCCTGTGCCGCGTCAAAGGAGGGAGGAGGTCGTTGATGGTCGACTGCGGGCGGCGCAGTAAAACGGCCTTGAAGAACTGAATCGACCTATCGAGGAAATCGCCATCCGGGACTCTCACGCCCCGTTTATTTTTAGGTTCTTCTGAAAATGTGTTGACGAACAAAGGGAGCGTTGAAAATGGGTGACCACGAAGCATCGACACCAAGCCAAAACCATCCTGCCACGTGTTGTCCAATGGTGTCCCGGACAGCATGATGCAGGTATCGAAATTGTCGCGAAACTGAGAGACGGCAAAGTGTGACAGTGTGTTCGTGTTCTTGATTGTATGGGCCTCGTCCAATATGAGAAACTCACCCCACGGATTGGATTTGGGCTTATAGAAGCCGGAAAAGAGTGACAGGTGAGGCACCTTTGGTTCGCAGCCCCGTGGCCGGCGTGTGAACTCCTTCATGTCTCTCTCGAATCGTCGTCTCCTAGAGATCTCCGCTGCCAGATGCGAGTAGGACGTGACCACCAGGTCGTGGCTATAGACCTCTACTGGCGAAACATCTTCGGTTGTGACCAGGATGACCCGAACGGCCTACGTTGAAGTTAGTCGGCGACGTCTTGCATTGATTTGTCATACGATGTCTCTTACGTTGGAGAGAAAACGGCGCGCTTCCGCAACCCATTGAGAACAGCACGATGTGGGCGCAACCACGACACAAGGGCCGCGGCCGGTGCGGTCGGAGGCTGCAATGGCCATCAACGAGGATAGAGTCTTCCCTAGGCCTGGACGGTCTGCCAAGATCATTCCCTTGAATTTCGACTTTCTCGCGCTGAGCATGGCGGCAGCAGCCTCAACCTGATGCGGGAACGGGTGGATGCCGTGCTTCAAGCCTTGTCCAATCTGTGTGTTCACCGTAGAGCATCGCTTTCGTTTCAAAACAACGAGATACGTCAGTGAGAAGAACGCAGCAGATGTGATGATTTAAATGGCCAATTAAAAACAAAACAGCAAAAAATCAAAGCCTACAATCCCATTCTCTAGGCCGTTAAAGTATGCCTCCAGCTCTGCTTTGTCCAGCATGTCATCCTCGTCATCGTCGCTGTCCTCGTCGTTGTCACTGCTATTGTCATCTTCGTCCTGGTCGTCCTGGTCGCCGTGGTCGTCTTTTCTGTCGTTACCAAACAGAAGTCCTTCAGACTCTGGAACGTCGACCATGGCAGGCCCGGCTTGTAGATTGTCCTGCAGAATCACGGCCATTCTTTTGTCAATGGTAATAGTTGCCTCTTGAAGGTGCCTCGCCGCGGCCAACAGGTGGCTTTCCAGTCCCCGAAGGTCATCTTGTAGGCCCTGTGAAGACGGCAACTCGTTCATTTTCTTGCGTTACTCGGGAAACTGGTGGAAACGTGGCTCAATGCTTGAAAGAGTGTTCAACAATAGCAAGAAAAGTAGAGCGACCGACTGGCTTGAGTTTGTGGTTCAGATTTGTTTCAGGAGTGTGGAAGCTAAGTAACATTAAAGTGAAGAAAACGGATCTGCACAATGTCAGTCGGGCTGCAAATACGAGATAGTAAACTTCACAGGCAGTGGACATTGAGTGACGCCGGTAGAGAGAACGGTCTTGGAGACAGAAAAATGTATTACTGAGTGGGCACGACAAGGACACTAAGCTTCATAGAGTGTAAAAGCTGGGTGTGGTAGGGTGAGGGGAAGGTAGGTGATGTAGAGTAAACAAATAGTTGGCATGGCTCACAAGCAACAGTCAATAAACCTCTGTTGTTGATGTACGTTTGATCGAGAGTCTAGCTGATGGTGATGACATGCAGCTTATCAGACCGGTGGCATCATACGCTGTACAAAGAAGGACTTTAACGTGCCGTACGTGTCGATATACGGCCAGTCGGTGTAGAAATTCAGTAAGATATGGGGTATAATAGATCAGAGCCTGGTGACATTTTGGAGAGCTTCTTTTTTACTGTGCACTGTTTTGAGATCGATTTTAAACAGTCTTTACCCTTGTTTAGCTCCTCTATTTCAGTGCATCAGAGGAAACTGGATATCTTACGGTCTCAACAACGGTGTTGACTTGTTATCCATCGTACGACGCAAATTGATCTGGAAACTAAATTCAATGCTAAGTAAAAACGCGAAATTACAAAGCTGCAATCGTGAGAAGAAACGTTCACAGAAAACCACAGACTTGGAAGAAATCAACGCGTCGACATAACCTTCACCTTATCGTCCTTTTCTGTCTACTCCTTCGTACGGCCCAGGATATCCGTGATGAACCTGGTTACTTCTCCCAGAGATTTAGACACCTGCTGATTTGTGTCCACACAAGCTGCCACATGCAGGGCCATCAGCTCGGAGTACAGACCTTCTGCTTCCTTTTTGTCTTTCGCGCTGGAGATTCTTGCCATCAGATCGCTGAAAGATCGGTGGGGCAGAGCACCGCCATACTGGTCCACAACTTCGGCTGTGGCCCGGTCGGCGTAGTCCTTGATCTGTCCATGGACGTACGTGAGGCAACGAAGGACGTGCCGCATGCTTTGGAGTGTCAATGGCTTCTTGTCTTTGTCCTCCTCTGTCATTGGCGGCAAGTATGTTTGAGGCAATCTGTCGCCGTGGAGTTCGGTGGCCAGCAGCGCCACCTTGATGGCTTCTTCACAAATCTTGTCGCCGTTCAGAAGGTGTAAAAGGAGAGGAAGTTTTCCAGAGTACGAAAGTCCACTTTTGCCTGCGCCTCGGGGCCAAGCTGCACCAGGAGCCCGTGAAGGGCGACCAGAAAACCCGCGTCGACATCAAGCCTGACCTGGGTCTGAATTTGACAGCAACAGTCAGTACAATCGATGGTACGGTGCTAATCGAAAGGACATTATACTTTCACGCAGTTCTTCTACCATCTCAAGCGCTAAATCATCCGTCAAGGTCTCGCCAAAGTCAAGAAACGCGTATATACCCTCCGTGCGCGTTTGCGGGCCGAACTGGTTCATACCGTTGTGTTTCTTCAGCGTCTCCTTGATCATTACAAGGTAGTTGACGTCCCCTGTCTCTAGATACATGGTATGTAGCATCAACACAAGTGAGGCGACGTTGTCAGAAGTTGTGGTTTTCGAGGGATGCTGGAAGCGTGTTTTGTTCGTGTCATCAGGCACAACTAGGACACTTGCTCCAGGGTCTCCTTGTTTTTTAGAACAAGCAACCTCACGGCAAACTTTGTTTACCGCAGTCAGACGGTCCCTGATAGTCGGAATGTTGTCGATGCCCCGCCAAAACTCTGGGTAGAAGAAGACCATTTCGGCCCTTACCACTCGTGGCTGGAAGTTGCCGTTGGTCGACTTTGCAGCGACGTAGTATTTCACTTGTTTTTTGACGACGTCGGTGGCTGGCGTGAATACTCTGAGAGCAAAGTCATCGCGGGGCAGTACGCCTCTTTGTTCCATCTCCGCCTCTCTCTTCTTGTCCCGAGGGTTCCCAGTTGCCAAATACAGGTTTGGGCTTTTTCCAAATACTAGTCCTACCTCGAGGTATTTGCGAGTCGTGTCAGTCTCCATTGACTCGTCTGGGTGTGCTAGCTTTCGGACGGCAGTGAGGTCGAAGTCTTCCTCTACTTGGTACGCCTTGTTTCCCTTAGCATCATTTGCGAGGGTGAAAAATGACTCGTTGAACTTGTTCCGACCTGTCGCCTCTGATTTCATCCTCTCGCCGGATGCTCGCATGCACACGTCCAAATGCCCATCCTCGACAAATTCTGCGCGGTCCTGGTAGAAAGCCATTTTCGTGCATAGTTTGACGAGTGCATCAATGGGCGGGTGAAATGGCGCTGAAATTTTGTCGCCCGTGAATCGGCAAAGACGAGGCTGAAGCCAACGTCGTTGACAAACTGAACAAACTGGTCAATCATCCCTTTGCGAACAAGCCTATGTTGCCCTCTCTCAGTAAAGCAAAGCGCCTTGCGATCCACCGTCTGGAAGACACCATTAACCTGCACTTGGAACATAAGGCGACCAAGGAACAATACAGACTGGTTTTTGAATCGACCATTGTTGCCTTGACCGGAAAGACTGTCGAACAGCGTATGTTTGGACTTGGTAATGTCTTTAAAAGGCATTACCATATGAAATCTGACTCGAGATAATCTGACAAAATTGAAAAAAATAAAATACAGTGACTGAAGACCACCAAGCCGAAGATGCGATGATCAAGGACAAGGAAACGACTTCTTCGCATCAGCACGTACATCCCACGAAAAACGAGTCCACGAACAAAAATGCGATAGCGCTGAAGATGTTTGAGGAAATCGGGATGGGCGACTTGTTCAAGCAAACTCGCTCATGAAAGGCTGTGAGCCACCGTGAAGTAACAGGCGCTTGGCTCGCTCAGCTCTTACATGCCGTGGAACTTGATGGATTACGATACACGTTATAATACGGGTGAGAGAGTGGTACTAGGTCTGGTGCGAGCCTTGATTGAATGTCTCCCATTGGCCATTTGTCCGCCACACACAGTTTTATGTGCACGGATCACCTCAACCTGCGGATGGTGGTGGGTATTGAGGGGGATCGTAGTGGCCGGGTGGTTAAATGGTGGAATGCTGTGGGATATTCGACCTGAAGATTGTGTACCCTAAAGGACAGAAACGGTGATGCATGTTTCCGACGGCCATTTGAGGACCAGAGGTGTTGGAAGATTTGCAATGAAAGGAGATGGAGAAGCTGCCTCTAATTATAAACACGGCTAAGGTGATTAAGAGAACGACAAATCGTAAACGGAAGTGAATAATATGTAAGAGAGTGTCACATCTGGGGCCGTCATACTGGTTGGCGGTGTACTTTTAAACTTGTACCCATTTTACAAGTCGGAATCCACAAGGCGCATATCCCGAACCTAAATTCATATTGAACAAGGTGGGTCTATAACCGTACCGTAAATAGACGACAGACTAAATAATGCGCCTGGGAGGGAGACGACAATAAGTGACATCCTGGGAGGATGTCGATAACGACTAACTTTGTCCGCGTTAATATGGATTAAGGTCAGGAGACAAGGCTATAAGGATTTTTTGGTTCGGAGCCAAGTGTATGATCAGTATTGCGGAACAGAGGGAGGATTTAACGACGCGGTCGTCATGTTTACTTCTTTGTAAGGGGCCGTGATGTCGGAGAACAGGGTGGCTGCTTCTTCCCCGTTGTATTTATCTCTTTGATAATGGAAGGAGGAATCAGTTTGTTGTGGTCCCATCTGTAAAATGTACACATTGGCTGAAGTTGAAGGTATTGAGTGATCCCACTACCCAATCCTCTCACGATTTTACCATAAATGAATTGGCCCAGTTTACTACCACCTTTCGTCATCGACTTTCGTTGTGTTCACCGGTTTCTATTATTCCAATTTGAGGAAAGTTGATTCACGTCGTATTTCCATGTTGGGGGATATCTTTCATCTTACGTCGAGAAGTTGAAAGAGCCAAAAAATTAAAAAAAAAAAAAAAATAAAACGGAATAAAGGGAAATCAAAAAAAAAAAAAAACGACAAATTGTACCACCCTGCCCCACGTACAAACATAAGTAGTAACCAACTTGGTGCGGTGGCCATTGTCTACGGACAACGTCATAATAGCAGCTCAAATTGATCTGTGGGTCGCACCTTCCCAACACAGCCTTGTTTGTGCTTTGGTGCGTTCGCACCTTCCTCGAGACTGTCGCTTCTGGCGTCTCCTGGCAACGGCTTTAAACTTTTGATTTTTCATCCCCCGCATATTTACCATTTGAAAATTTGACACGACACACTCCGACACTTGTCTGACCGGCAACAACCACCTCCAGCATCATCGCACGCTGTTCGCCCTTGCTCCAGCTATACTCAGATCCACGCCGCGAGGCGGCCATTCACTATTTATCGGCTGCCTCTCTCTGGTCCATCTTATGCCGTGTCCTGGAATCCTCTACGACAATTACCGCCGCTGTCCGAGCATTCATCCGTGTTGCCATCCCTCCAGTCAACACTGTCAGACTCGCCCAGCTGGCGAATCACATGTTGGACGCCGTCTTGAAGCCGTGTATGTTCGCTGTCGTGTTGTTGCCATTGGCTTAATTGCACCCTTCACCAGGATCCAAAACTCCACATCCATACTGACAAGCACTCACCTCAAGTTGTACTGGCGGGCGGGAAAGCCCCAGTGCCACTGGCAACACCGTCGAGCGATGGTGCATCCTATGCCACCGACATGGTCAAGTCTTCCATTGAATGGAAATTGTCGACACGAGCTGAACAAACGAAACTTCGAAACGACTGTCTAAGTCGGGACGGATACCGGTGCGTCTACACAGGTATCTGGGACTTTAACAAGGCCGCTCGCGCCCGCGAGGCATCCCGGGCCCTCTCCGTGGAGCTCGCCGAGACGGCGCAGCTGTCCCTGGCCCTCCGCGCCTCTGAGGAAGAGGCTGAGGCCCGGGATGAGGTGTTGGTGGAAGAGAAGGCCGCGGCGCTGGAGTCGTGGGGGGAGGGCAGCTCGGTCACCCAGCCCGGGGGGACTGGGCACCCCTCCGGCGAGCCTGAAGACCGGGCGGCCCAGCGTCGCTGGTAGTGTGGCTGACGCCGGCGAAGTCAGCTTTGACTTCGAGACCCGGTCGGCTGGTGCCTCTACCAACGAGGATACCGAGATGGAGGACGCGTCGTCCGTGTCGGCGATGACGACGACGACCTGGGCGCGGTTAGCGCGCCTGTCGCGCCTGCCGCTGTGGCTCCCGCTCCCGCTCCACTGGCCCAGGATGTCGCTGGGGCCATCATAGTGCCCAGTGATCTGGCACCGCTCCCTTGCTGCCGCTGCTTCAGAGCGGCATTTTTGGGCTCCGGCCCGCTGGCGGCCCCGGCCTGCGTGTTCGCGGGGGGCTCCCTGCGGTGCCTGCACACCTCATGCAGAGGGGAAGGAAATTGTCAGCCGGTAAGGCTCTTTGTACTTATGATTGCGTGACAGGGTTCCTGCTAACTTGTGTAGCTTCCGGCCATGATGGCCGGGGATTGCCAGCGAGCCGGAGCCCGAAAATGCCGACTGATGGAGTCGTTCAGCCATCTCCTGGTGAAGTCTGAGCGGACACAGACTGTGTACATGTTTTCCCATTCGCATTGGGGTCGTTCGACGACACCGACGCGGTGCAGTCATGGAATAGGGCCGTGATCTGGTTTGCAATCCACCGCTACTTCCCGGACAACCAGGACCTGATTGATGCTAGAAGCGTCAACCAACGGGGTAACGCAATAACCTTGAGCCTTGACGTGCACGACCATTTCTGTAACTATCGGCTTGGGTTCTTGCCTCGACCCAGAAGCGACGGTATGTGATAGACGATGAAATGTTAACTCCTCCTCCAGCACGCACACGAGCAACAAAAAAATAAGGCTGTCAAGATTCGTGTACTCTGCACGCGCGGATCATTAATTCGTCTAAAGCTAATTGTTGGTAGAACCAGTACGAGGTTGTCAACTTCACCGGCCAAAACCTGGGTATTTCCTCAAAAGTGGCACGGCAGTCGTCGAGTTTACTTGCTCCGACACAGCGGTGGAGATATCTAATCCGGTGTTTCTTCAAGTCCACTTCACCATCTGCCATATTCTCCAAGCGAGTAGATTTGGTGCGGAGATTCGGAGGGCTCTTAGACGAAACAGGTCTTGTCGACTGCGATGGGCTGAATCCAAGCGGGGACACGGACGCTGGTAGTATTATGCTAATAAATATAAATGCAGAGCAAGACGGACGCGCACACAAGATAGACAAGGCAGTTGACCGTCTAGCAGAGGAGGCACAACCTGAAACATGAAAGCAAGCCCCTTTTCGATCCTTTCGATGTACAGATATTCTGTCATTTTATATTTTGATACCCTAGCTTTCCACGTTCTCGCACTATCTCACGCATTTACGTTTTAAATAATTCGAATTTATCAAACAGAATTTCTACCCTTTCCACGTTTTCATCTTGCCATCAAATTTCAGCATTTCAACCAGTCCTCCCCTAAATGTAAAACATACTATCCCGCAGTCTCGGGTGGATCAGAACGTCCTGGTCCAACGGTAGTCCTCGTCCTCCTCCAGCCTGAGACGCCACTGTCGATGCCTCCGTTGACTCGTCAAAGACGCTCGACAAGTAGCAGCGGGCACGCTCGCACAGAATGTCGGCGTAGTAGGCGGGCGTGCAAAGGCTGACGGCCTTGGTGGCGCGGCCAAAGACGTAGCACATGCTCTGGGTGATGTCCTCGAGACGGTCGGCGACGCCCACGGCGCCTGGTGCGGGCGCGGTTGTGGATTTGCCGGTGGGCTCGTACCTGGGGCGGAAGATCTCGTCAAGCAAGACAACGTAATGGCCCGGCCGCACCGTGCCTTGGAGCGCGGCATGGGCCTGCAGGAAAAAGTCCCACGACCGCGCCTCGGTGACACCGCGGTCGACAACGGTGCCGGGCTTGGTGTTGCCGGTGCGGTCGTCGGCGTCGGCGGCCGTGGTGGGATAGAAGCGCGTGTGGTGGCGCTTGCCGACGACCACCAGCGTCATCTTGGGCAGACCCTTGGCCTGATCGGCGGCGGGGTAGACGTCGCGACACGCAGCACGCAGGCGCGGCAGCTCCTCGGCGACGACGAGCGGATACTGCCCCTCCGAGACGCCGTCGCGGTAGACCAGGATGTTCTGGGGCAGCGCCTTCTGCCTGGTCTGCCACAGCCGCAGCCGTGACACGAGCATCTCGTGCAGGTGGGCGACCATCTCCTGCCGCGCCTCGGCCTGCACACGCAGCACGCCGGGCCACTGCCCCAGCGCGCCGCCGTCGGCATTGGCGATCATGCCGGCGATGCTGGGCGCGCGCGCCGACGAGCCCGGCGACGGGTGCGTGACGTCGATGCCGACGACCATGGTCTTGCCTTCGGCGAGCAACCCGAGGCGGGTGGGCTCGACCACCTGGTTGCGCCCGCCGGCCTTGAGGTTGCACTTGAGCGCGACGTTGCGCATGTACTGGTCTTGGCCCTGGGTCTTGGCCAGCTTGCTGCCGACGACGCAGACGGTGTGGATGCCGCAGCGGACGTCGCCGAGTTGCTTGATGCGGTTGTACAGCGGGATGGGCGAGGCAGGCAGCACGACCAGCAGCAGCTGGAGTTTCTCGCTGGCACGGAACAGCATCTCGGGCAACTGGGGGTCATCGAGGCCGTCGCCACGCAACCTCAACATTTTGGCCTCCAGTGGTGGGGCGGCCGTGACGCCCGAATCCAGCATGACCTTGTGAAACTGGGCAAGCGTGTGAGCCAATTCGGGCGGCGTAAACGTCTGGGCACGTGAGTGGGCGTCGGGCAGTTCGATGTAGAGGCACGACCAATTTCGGAGGGAGCCAGCCGCCGAGAACTTGAGCGGCTGGGCGTCGCGGGGCACCATGTTCCAGCTGCCGTTGAAGACGCTGGCAAACTTGTTCTGGCCGTAGCCGACGCGCGGGCTGGCCAGAACGCGGCCGGGGACCGTGATGAGGCGTGCGGCCGCGTCGAGACCAAACGGCCCGAGACGCGCGTTGGTCGACGACGAGAGGCCGGCCATGACCAGCCCTTCGCCCGCGACAAAGGCTTGGTTCTCTTGCGGCCGACGAACGGCAAAGCGGATCAGCTGCTGGGTCTGGCTGGGGTCGAGCTTGGCATGCGCCGGCTGGCCAGCCAGTACGACACAGACTTCGGCCGGCAGGTAGGTGGGATGCTCGCGGGTGCCGGTGTTGACCACGGGCAGGCCGGGGCTGGCGAGGTGGCGGTTGTACGTTTCCACGAAAAAGTCATACACGGAAATGTAGCGCCCTCCGGTGGCAGGAGGCGCTGGCTGAGGAGCACCCAATGCCTTGCCCTTGCCCCCCTTGCCCTTGCCTTTTCCCTTCTGTGGCGACGCCTGTGCCTTGGGCTCGCTTCCACTTCCACTTCCACCCGCCGGTCCGTCCAGCCAGAACTGCACCTCCTTGGGCCCAGCGCCAAATCGAGCCACCCTGGGCGGGTGCTCTTGGCCATGGCCGTCATTGGGCGTTGCCAGACCAAAGATGGTCTTTATCCGTGGGATGATCTCACCCTTGCGGTTCGTCTTGTCCCTGAGATGCGTCGTGCGCACACGCAGTCGCTTGAGGAAGCTCTCGAGGCGGCGCACCGTGCCTAGGGTCACGCCCGCACCGCCCGTTCGCGCCAGGATCAGCTGGTCGAGTGGGCCCGTCTGGTAGAATGCGCCGTTGGTGACGTTGACATTGACCAGCAGCCGGGCCGTGGCCATGCGCACGCTGGCAAAGACGCCGCGCAGTGCCGTCAGCCCGCTGCCGAGGTCCCACGCGTTGCTGTCCGACTGGACGGAAAACGTCTTGGCAGCGCCGACCGCCACCAGATCGCGCGACGTCTTGGCATGGTGGTGGAAAAAGATGTTGAGCGCCTGCAGCGTGGGCAGCGCATCTGTGTAGGCCGTCGTGGCGTCGGTGACCGCGGCGGCCGAGGACGACGCGGACGAAGTGGACGACAGGTGGGCCAGCAAGTCGGCCACGGGCAGGGCATTTGTGTACCGGAGCTGCACGACAAACTCCCTGCGCGTCGCCGGCAGCCCGGACCCGCCGTCGTCTCCGATGGCGTCCTCGCCCTCGAGACGGTAGGCGATGGTGCTTGTAAACGAATCGGTCTCGTCCATGGGAAGACGCACGCGGGAAACGAGCGTCGACTTGAAATCCGTTACCACGTCGCCCCTGTGGCCGGCCAGTTCCGGTGTGTCCTCGAGGAAGATGCGGAGCACCTGGGCCCGCTTCTTGCCCGTCACATCCGGCGTCACCGACACGTCGTAGCGGTACAGCACAAGCTCGGGCTTGGACGCTGCCGTCAACACGACGTAGTTGGCCCACAGTGTCACGGGATGGCCCTTGGTGCCGTAGCCTGGCCGCATCGGAAAGGGGCGGGACGCATCGAGCTTGCCGCCGCTCGCCAGCTTGGCCTTGACAATGGCGTTCTCCAAATTGGTGACGGCAGCATCAGGCGCCGGGGCGCCTGTCACGACACTGACAGGGCCGCCGCCTCTGCTGCCTCCTCCGCCGCCTCCGCCACGGCCGCCTCGAAAGTCGCCTCTACCACCGCGTCCTCCACCTCCACCCCGGCCTTCCCCATATCCACCATGCCCACCGCGCGGTCGGTATGTAAGGCTCTCGCCACCACCGCGGCCGCCTCCTCCACGGCTGCCGCGATATCCTTGTCCACGGCCCGACATAAGGTGTTCTTGGGTGGGTGTTCAGTCGGGTATTTTCGTCCGAGTTTGAATTGGTTCGTTGTTTTGAGAATTTTGTTGGTATTTTGCTTTCTTTATCGACGATGCAATCGATGATCATCGATGCAAAATGAAACGAGAGAAAGACAGAAGATAAAAGACAAGAGACAAAAGACAAAAGGCAAAGCCAGATGTGCGGGGGCGGCTACCGTTTGTCTTTTATCTTTGCAACGGACCAGTAAGCAAAGGAGACAATGGAAGTGAACAAATGAGACAATGGGCTGGGCCAAAAGACGCAGTCACCAACATGCCAGAAGCAGCCGTCGACCAATGGAGCAAAACGTTGTCGCCTCGTTTGCGAGCTGCGCCCAAAACTTGGGTTGCACAGCAGCTGGTGGTGTGCGAGCTTGTCAGGATCCAACCTATGACAGTGCCTTGTTCGTGCACTTTAACGTCGCCGTTGCGTCGTGTTAGGCACGTTCTTTGTTGGCCGTGGTACGCCTTGCATGGTATGCCTTCTGGTCACGAATGAACCAAAACTGCACTTTTGAGTA